GCAATTAAAGCAGGTAAGACAATTAAGTCACGTAAACATGCTTTTCCTAATCTAAACAGGAGGTTTCAAGTAAAAGTATTTGTTAAATTACAATAAACATAGGTATTAGCTTAATGTTAACGGGATTTTCAACAATTAGCACGTGTACGCACTCGTCACCTTATGTACACGTCACTCATATAACAAAATACCAAATCCTAAGGGGAGTTCCCCCACACAAGGTAAGGCAATCCACTTACCTCGAATCAGCTCAATCAACTCGAAATCACTTTCTTGCCATGAGTACCCGACTCCAAATGACCTAAATCTATTCAAAGTAATTGCATAATGTAAATATAACTACAAACAACTAATTTAGTTAATGAAATCGAAGCTAAGACAAGAAAATAGAAAAACACCCAAAAATCCTCCCCGGGCCCACGTCTCAGAATCGGGTAAAAGTTACGGATTATAAAGCCTCATTCACTCATAAGTCTAACCATACCAAAATTACTCCAACCCGATACCAAAATCTTGATCAAAACCCTAACATTAGGCCTAAGAACTTTTTAAAAATTTTCCTCAATTTCTCACCCTAAATCTGAAATTAAATGATGAATTCATGTTTAGATTAATGGGTTATAAGCAAAAAAAAGTTAATAATCATTACCCCCAAATTTCCTCCGAAAATCCTTCCAAAATTCGTCTCCTACTGAACTCCCAATTCAATTTTGTGATATGAACTCAAAGCTCTCGATTTTGAACTTTATGTTGTGCCTAGACGCGACCTAAATCGCGATCACGAAGAGAAACTTTGCTAGCTCCCAGATTTACCTTACGTGATACTCTTTATGCAAACACAATGCTTGCACTGCTCAGGTCTACGCGATCGCGGTTTACCTCACGCGATCGCGAAAAGAAACTCCCATACCACAGATGCCTCACTTCTTCCCCTACGCGAATGCGGCATAGCCCACGCGTTCGCGGTTCAACCTTCTAACAATACTACGCGTTCGCATTCGTTTTCCCGCGATCGCGTAGAACAAAGTTCCCTCTACCTCAGCTAAGCCTTTTCGATCACGAGCCTCCTCACTCGATCGTGATGAAGGGAAGTCTACAACAGAAAAATCTGATCTTTCTCCAAGTCCAAAAATGGTCCGTTGAGCATCCGAAACATACCCGAGGCCCCCAGGACCTCAACCAAACACACCAACCAATCCTAAAACATCATACGAGCTTAGTCCAATCCCTAAATCACATCAAACAACGCTAAAGCCACGAATCATCCTCCAATCCAAACCTAAAGAACTTGAAATTTTAAGAATCCTACAACCAATGTTGAAACTAACCGAACAAAGTCCGATTGACCCCAAATTTTGGACACAAGTCGCATTCAACACTACAGAGCTATTCCAACTTTCGAAATTGGATCCCGACCCCGATATCAAAATCTCACTATTGATCCGGAAACTGCAAAAATTCAACTTTCGGCATTTCAAGTCTAAATAAGCTACGGGCCTCTAAAATACAATCCGAACACGCCCTTAAGTCTGAAATCACCCAACGGAGCTAACGGAATTGACGGAATTCTATTCCAAGGTTATCTTCATACTGCTCCAACTACGGTCCAAATTCTAAAGCTTAAACTCTTATTAGGGACTAAGTGTCCCAAAACACTCCAAAACTCAAAATGAATCATCCCGGCAAATCAAAGTAGTAGAAATAAATACGGGGAAAGCAGTTAATAGGGGATCGGAGCAATAATTCTTAAAACGACCGGTCGGATCGTTACAAAGAGCTAGATCTTCTCTGAAATGAATATAAGTATAATTATTTAATAAGTACTATTATAAATAGATATTAATTGATAAAATATTTCTATTGAGTAGCTAATCTTTTCTGTATCATTTCAATTTTATCGAATATCCCCGAAAAGACTCACTCGTTAATTAAATAGGATTAGACTTGAATTTTTGTAGCCCTTTTAGAAATATTGTTTAATACTAGTTGGTCTGATAATCTCAAGGGTTAGACCAAGGTTGTCACTTCAATTAAAATATTCACTATAATTATATGAAAAGTAGTTTATAAAACTTAAACTAGAGGCAAATGCATAAGCTATCCATTAGACTTGTCCGCTTCTTTTACATTAACACCTCACCGGACACCACAATCGTAATAAATATTTATGATTTACCTATTAAACACAAAATGACATTTATTCTTCTAGTTTTTGAGATATAAAATTGTTAGCAATTTTTTTTACAAAGAAGGTGAATAAGAATATTAAAAAGAAAGATAGAAAATATGTAAAATTAAGTAAGGGGAGTAAAATTTTTACACATTATCTAATGAAGGAGTAAAGAGTGATATTGTCAAATTAATGCAAATTGAAACGTTAGGAAAAGTATTCATCTACCCATTTTGAAGTAAATCAAATTGTTACTTTATTTATACTAAAAAGTTTTCATATATTAAAAGTACTATTTTTTTAAATACATATAAACCTAATATTTTTAACAACCTTACTACTAATTACAGTAGAACCGCCCCTAGTAATTAATAGGTAGATATTGTAGCAAATTAAAGGGATGAATGAATCAATGACATGTACCAATAGTTATGATCGCAAATCCAAAAAATATAGAGCGATCAATTAGCAACAGGCAAATATTGTAGCAAATTAAAGAAATGAATGAAACGACAAACATGTGCTAATGGAGGTGACAACAAAAATAAAAAATACAGGTCGACCAATTAACATGTGGATATTGTAGCAAATTATAGGGATAGATAAAACAATGACATGTACCAATGGACATGACCACAAATTCAAAACATAGAGGCTAAGCAATTAACTTGCAGTATTGCAGCAAATTAAAAGGAAGAATGAAATATTTTACATGTGCTAATGGACATGACAACAAATCCAAAAATGTAGGACAACCAACAGACAAATATTGTAGCAAATTAAAGGGACAAATATGCTAATGGACATGACCAATAGACCCAAGATAACGTTTTACATATGTTAGGGAAAGTAATTAACACGCAAATATCGTAGCAAATTAAAGGGACGAATAAAATGATGTCATGTGCCAATAGACCCAAGATAATTATGTAAAAGAAGAAATCTAAAGGCTGCCATTAGTGTAATTTTTCATTTTTAATTCATGTGATAAGTATAAGATTTGAAATGGATCCCAACCTAACTATTTATGGACCACATGATACGAATCTAAAGGAAAAATTTGTCCATTGTCCTATTTAGTCGTCCCAATTTAATCTGTATTTATTTTTATTTTTATTTTTAACTTGTACTTATTTTTTAAAATCTATAATTGATCGTAAAATGGGTAGGCTTGCAAATCTTTTTGCAAAATGGGTATAGTTTCAATTGTGACCCTAAAATCGGGTATAAATGCAAAAGCCCATCTAAAAGGCAATTGAACATTTCTTGAGGGAATAAGAGCCCGTTTGGATGGGCTTATTGTAAGTAACTTTTACGTCAAATTAGTTTTTAAGACATAAGTTAGGAATTCTAGCTTTTGATTTGTTTTTGTCATTTTAGCTTAAAAATAAGTGCTTCAAAGCACGTTTTTTACTTTATCCAAATACTACACAATGGCTTAAAAGTTATTTTGGCTTAACAACAACAACAACAACGACCCAGTATAATCCCACAAGTGGGGTCTGGGGAGGGTAATATGTACGCAGACCTTACCCCTACCTCGAAGGGTAGAGAGGCTGTTTCCAGGAGACCCTCGGCTCAAAAAAACAATAGGAGATGATATATTAGTACCATAAAAATGCGTAATAAAAATAACAACAATATATAAGAGATATGAGTCAATCTCTTTTGGCTTAAGAGCACTTAAAATAAGTCAATCCGACTGGACTACATCTTTAACCATGTATTTGGCCTTAATATTAACTTCTACTAAGAACTAAAATTCTGCATTTAATTAACATTAAAATTACGGTTGGGGTGGGGGTGGGGGTGGAGGAGTTTGACAGTCAAAGTAAAAACTAATTGGCTCATGAAAACGAAAATCATGATCACAAACTTTTACACAATCTTCCTTATCTGACTGCTTTTGTAAGATGACTACTCCGCTAATTAATTAATCTTCCTTATGTTCAGATTAGTACTAATCTTCAAATTAGATACGTAGTAATCTTCCTTATTTTCCAGCTTGTTTGGATGATTATTACCTATTGTATTGTATTGTATTGTTATACTAAAATAATGTTTATTTTAATTGTTTATTTAAAATTAATTGTATTGTATTGTTAAATCATTGTTTCAACAACCAAAAGTCCCATTTTATGAAGCAATCAATTTGGTAGGGTGAGATTATTTCCTATTTTCTTTTTCAGTTATGCCTTTGCCTATTACTCCATAATTCTATTTTATCTTTTACCTTTTTTTATTTTAACTCTAAATCTCCAACCACCTACTATGTCTACATCCATCTTTTCTAGAGTTGGTTCATGCCCTTATTTTCATCCAAATCTCTTACCGTTTCTTTATCTCTTTCCATCGTTCTAGATTTTTTTTATAAAACTAGTGATAGTTAGCCCTTTTCTTCAAGTTTTTGCTCTTGTTTTCAAGCTACATAATTTATGATAAATTATAGCAGAAAGAAGTTTTCTTAAGTTATTCTTATACGCAATTCTACATTTTACTAAAAACAATTGAGGGTATCTTAGTAAACTTATCAGTTATAGTACATTACTATACAATCAAATTAAATAACAAAAATATTATTTAACAACAACAATAATACATTCTATCCAAACGTTGGCCATAAAAACGATACAATATTGTACAATACATCATACGATGGGTAACATTGATCCAAACATAATCTTACTGCTGAAAAATACTAATGTGCAAGCTCATGCAATGTTATAAAGAGTGTAGATAGCGTGCAACCTTTGAAAGATAGACTTCAGTAATAACAAGGAAAATCATGAGCAGAAATATTAAATTGCCACTCATTTTTTATTTTTTTCAAATGGTTTCCACTTTCTTTAGCTATATTACTAGTACTCTATGGAAAATTTTCTTTTCCATAATTAAGATAACAAGCAAATTATTGAGTACTACAAGATATAAGCCATTATTGCCTCCAGGTCCAAAACCATGGCCAATAGTTGGTTGCATTCCTCAAATGGTACTAAACAAGAAGCCAGCATTTGAGTGGATACACAAACTAATGGAGGAAATGGATACTGATATTGCTTGCATTCCTCTTGGTAATGTTCATGTCATTCCTGTCACTTCTCCTGAGTTTGCTTGCCTATTTTTAAAGAATCAAGACTCGATTTTCTCATCGAGGCCTATTTGCATGTCCGCGAACCTCGTTAGCAATGGCTACTTGACTTCACTTTTTCTCCCTATGGGTGATCAATGGATGAAAATGAGAAGAATCCTTTCTTCCCATGTCCTCTCAGCTACATCTTTTCAATGGCTTCGTCGTAAGAGAGATGAAGAAGCTGACCATATTCTTCGATTCGTTTATGAACAGTGCATTAACAAACGTCTTGTTATTAACTTGAGGAAAGTGACAAGATACTATTGTGCAAATGTTATTAACAATATGATTTTCAGCAAGAGATTACTTGGAAAAAGTATAATAGAAAAGGGAGGACCANATTAGTAGAATTACAAGAAGATCAGGAGAAGCAAATTGATGCAATTTTTACACTTCTTGAATATTTTCATTCTTTTATATGANCTTGAATATTTTCATTCTTTTAGTATCTCAGATTACTTACCATGGTTAAGTGGATTTGATTTAGATGGTCACAAGGCAATTATTAAGAAAGCCTTTGCCATAGCAACAAAACACATTGATCTTGAAATTGACCAGAGGATTCATATTTGGAAGAATGGCAAAAAACCCGTGGAAGAAGACATCCTTGATGTCCTTATCATGCTCAGAGATACTAATGGGAATCCTATGTTGAATGCTAAAGAGTTTAAAGCACAAGTCCTTGTAAGTATACTCTCTTAAACCATGTGAACAACATGATAAACTTTAAGATTTTCATTTTTACTTTTAGTGACGTACTTTTACGGTCATAAGTTTCAAAAATCTCTTTCTTAAGGTCAGTATCCAATCAAACAGCGTCATATAAATCAAAATAGACGAGTAAGATTTCGTTAGAAACTGCTAAATCTGTCTTGAATCTTGCTTAAAACCAATTTCAATATTTTTTTGACCATATAAATTAATTAAAATTCAACATTACTCGATGGCTTTTCTTGATTTATTCCCTATGTTCCAGTTTATGTTGAACTTTTTCATTTTTCGAGAGTCAATTTAACTTATCTTTGAAGCTAAATTGAATTAGATTAACTCGATATTTAAAGTTAAAATTTAGATATTCAAATATTATACAAAAAGTACTATAACTTTTAATTCTTCCCATGTTGATATGATGAAAAAATGTCTTTCAAAATGTATGTAGTTTGAATCTTGAAAAGCAAAAATATTCACATAAATTGGAACGAGGGAGTAGTTTCAGAAGAATTTGGAAAATATTTTTGAAACATAAGTCAAAAGATTGATTGTCCGTTTGGATTACATCATTTTATTAGTTTATGTGAAAATGAGACTTGCTTTTTTTGTTTTTTTCGATTTGATTAGAAAAACATAAAGTTTTTTTTTTTAGAAAATCAATTACGATTATTTTGTTTGACCTTCTTGGTTACCGATTATATTGACAGGAATTCATGCTTGCAACGTTAGATAATCCTATAGAAGAGATTGACAATGTCATGGGGAGCAATAGATTGGTTCAAGAATCCAACTTGCCACGGTTAAATTATGTCAAAGCTTGTATTAAAGAGTCCTTTCGACTACATCCCTTGGCGGCTTTTAACGCTCCTCATGTGTCTGTATCGGATTCTGTTGTTGGTGAATACTTCATCCCAAAAGGGAGTAGTGTTATTAAGTCGTCTTGGACTTGGCCGAAACCCTAGAGTTTGGGATGATCCCATGAAGTTCAAGCCAGAGCTCCATATCAGCGAGGAAGGTGATGATGTAGTTTTCACTGATTCAGAGTTACGTTTGTTATCATTTAGTATTGGACGACGAGGTTGTCCAGGTGTAAAACTTGGCTCAACAATTACCACTATGTTACTTGCTAGGCTTCTTCAAGGGTTTACTTGGAGTTTACCATTGAACTCTCCAGGCAATGACTTGGCTGATGATTACCCGGAATGTGCTCTCCTTTGTACCATGCCATTTTTTGCTAAGGCAAAACCGCGATTGTCAAAAGACATGTACCCTTAAATATGTGAAATTATACCAGAATAAAGTATGTACGTACACATCATGTATGTGTATATATTTATATAGGATATTCTCTTGCTGCTATAGTATTTATGAGAGGATGAATCAATAATATTGGTGTGATCAATATTTTAAAGGT